TTGTTTTAAAGCCTAATAATGAGTGAGATCACCACTTCAAACACTATAATTCTCTATAACTGTGATACCTAAAACTCAATTCTAAAGAGAAGCTCAACATTTTGTACAATAAAAAATAGTTGTTGTCTTGATATAGAAATAAAAAAAAAAATCAAAGAAAAAAACTTTTGATTTTCTTTTTCCTCTTATGTTACTCATCTTGGTAACAATATACAAAAGAAAGATAAACTATTTCTTTTATATGTTTGAGTATTTACAACAATAAAAAAAAAACTTTTTTCCTTCTTTTCATGCCACATATGCACACACTTCACAATTTGGTCCTTTTTTTATTTTCTTTTTTCACTTTAATCTTTTTCTTAATTTATGTCTTCATAAGTTATGTTAAAATCACTCATGGATTGGACCTATAGTGTACACCCAATAAATCAATCCTTCTAGCCGATGAGGAAAAAAATCTCATCTCATCATTTAGAATTCATGCTACCCAAACCAACACACAATCCATTTTTCTCGTGTGTTGTTAAGTTTATCAATATATCAACAAAATCTTTATCATGAAAAATCATTCTCAAAATTGCCAAATATTTCTCAATTGACTCGGAAATCAATAGCATTGTCAATCATTAAACTTTAATTCTTAACCTCTTATCATAAGTCGAATACTACGAAAGTTATTTAACCCTCATCGTCCATCAATAAGACATTAATAGAACTAGATTTTTTAGTTAAAGAATGATACCGACCAATAGACCTACTCATTTTAGACTCTACATTTTGAAGTAGAGGGTTTTGGCGCTCTACTCAACACTTTTTATGTCCGTATAATCTTCATTAGCAATTATTGGCTTCATATCAATTTTATATTTTTCATTCAATACTCCACCATATATGGCAATCTTCATAGTAAAGGTGACACAAGACTTCTTTATCAATTTTTTTTTCATTCACTTAAGTATGTCATCTAGATCACAACTTTACAAAAGTTTTATATCTAACTATGGTCTTCTTAAATTTAATAAACTACACTTATGTACAATTTATTTCAAATATTACATCTAGTAATAACCATTGATGTCTTGGTTAGTCTCCATCTTCTATCACCAAAATGATTTTAGTATCTAGCAATGTCCAAGACATTAATAGAATCAAATTCAAACATATATCCGATTCATGCGAGCATATTCTTCAAAGTTAGTGTAAAACTTATACATGTTTTTATACACACATTGCTAACTCTTAAAACACTAGTATAATTATTATTAATCATCTTTACTTTGCCAAAGTCTTATGTTTTGTACACGATAAAAAAAAGAATCTTTTTTTTAGAAATAGCATGAAATATAGCAACTAAATCAGCAACCTATTTAATACAAAAATATATAACATTATACTTATCTTCTCCATATAAAAATGTCGTCACATTTCAATATAAAGTTAATAGTGGAGTAGTGTTCACATCATCTTTTTCTTTATTCTTCGAGTTCCTTTTGTTCTTTCCTCTCGTAGCTTGTAATTTTTCTTTATGTAACATTCTCTTCCATAATCATATATAATATTTAAAGTTAGTGTATTGCTCATACATGTCTTCATGCACATATCACTAAGTCTTAAAACTAGTATAGCCATTATTGCTCATATTTACTCTACAAAAGTCTTATGCATTATACGCAATAAAGAATTCCTTCTTAGAAATAACTTAAAATACAATAGTCGAGTCAAAATTCATTTAACACAAGAATCTATAACATTACACTCATTCTCTCTCTATGAGAGTGCTCTCGCATTCTAATTTGAAGTTAATAGTGAAGTAGTGTTCTCGTTCTCTTTTTTTTATTATTCTTTAGTTCTTTTTGCTATTTTTCTATGTCTTGCAATTTTTTTTATGTGATATTTTCTTTTACAATGATAATATTTAAAATTACCATTGGACTATGACCTATCTTTAAATTCATTATGCATACTAAATTCTCTATTCTTATTTCTTTATTTGTTTTACATGACAAAAGCTTGAGCATCATTTACAATCACTTTTCTTCATCTTATTTTTTCATAGAACAAACTATCTTTCGTTGTAGATACCGATAAGATACCATTCAAAACATAAGTATCAAGTGTCATAATCAAAGTTTTACAACTCGTTTAGCAAAGTTTTCAATAGCAATAATGCTTATAACTCATCATTCAGTACTATAATTCTTTGTGATCGTAGTACCTAAAAATCAATTCGGAGAAAACATTCATATTCTATAGACCAAAAATCATTGCTTTCTTGTTATAAAAATCAACAAAAAGGAAGAAAAAATCTTGGTTTTTGTCTCTCTCTCTCTCTTATTACTCTCCTAGGTAATAAAAAAAAAAACAATTTATTTTTTTGATATGTTCATGTACACATACACATATCACAATTTGATCCCTTTTTTATTTCTTTTTTTATCTTAGTCATTTTTCATGAATTACGTTAAGATCATTAAGTGAATCATCCTATAACAGTTATTAACTCCTAGATAGTAGATATTGGAATCTCTTATAGCATACATACTGTGTTCTGTTCTGGCTCAAAACCCGCAGAGAGAGAGATGGCAACTGGGGTTCCTAACTCAATGAACATATCAAAAACGGATAATTTTATTTTAATTTAATTTTAAAAAGTCAATTCACTTTCAACTATTGCATTTAGATTAAATTATAAGTCAGTTTCTTTAGTTTTGCAAAAAGAATTAAATAATTTCTTTTTATTTAAAAAATTAATTAATTAAAATTTTAACCAGTGCTAATCCTAATTTATTTAATATTATTTTTTTTGAAAAAAAATATTTTTTTCATCAATCTTTTCATGTTGATTACTATTTTTTTCTATTTTATTAAAAAATAAAATAAAATAAAAATAAAAAATGATTAAATTACAAGTGGATTTAAAAACACAAATATTAATTAGCTAGTTTTTTAAAATTAAAAGACTATTTAATTTATTTTTTGAAAAAATAGAAGTAATAATTCATAATTTACTCATTGCATTTATGAAAGCTGCTTTTCACCCACACCCCCCCCCCTTTTTTTAAACCAGAAATTAATGATATGGAAAGCATACTCAATCATTTTTATCTATAGATCTAAAAAACCCAAATGAATCCATCATCAGTAGATTATTCAAGTTGAAAGTATAAAAAGTCATTAGGAAATGATTAGCCAACTAAGTAGCTTTTTTTCTTCTTTGTCATCCCAAGATACATTGAGGCTTTGGTTACGTAAGGCATCAATCTTTCTCTCTTAATTTATCTGCTTTTATGTCGAAGTAAAATTTATTTTTAAGTTCTTAAAGTGATCAAGAGCAATCCAAAATAAATTATCAAAAAAAAAAAAAAAAAGAAGAAGAAGAAGAAAAAAAAATCAACAAATAATAAAATTTTCAATCATTTTCTTCAAAAAAAACAAAAATCCGCTTCCATCTTCCGTCAAGTAAACTTTTAAATGTATTAATGATTGAATTTAATAAAATTAAATAATTTCTTCATGCTAATTTTATCATAAATAAGGCTTCTTCTTCTTTTTTTTTTAAAAAAACAAGAAGTCAAGGAAGCCCAAAATTTAATTAGTAAAAATAAATGTCCCTTAAGATTTGGTTTTAGTTGACATAAAAGTTGGTTCGGCAATATTTTTTTATCGTGAAAAGGAGTTAAAATCAAACTCACGTTTTCTTTTGATTAAAGAAATAAAATAAAAACAAGCCCATAATTTCTGATAACGGCATATGTAATGTCATAAACGATAAGCATATCCCGCACAATTTCTATGCAAAAGGATCGCATTATTGTCAATCTAATTTATTTAGTGAGTATCAAACCCTCTTTGTTATCAAGAAAAAAAAAACTAAAAAACCAACTCTCAAATAATTATTTATATTAAAAAAAAACAATACATTCATTCAAATTTTTCAATAAATTTAAAAAGAAAAAATATTAGTAATAATAGAAATTATCTCTTTAATTAAATTCATCCCACAACGAATTTCGAAATATATGAAATCTTCTTATTTTTATTTTTTTAGGTTCAAAAGTAAAGGTCTCTTCGATTAGTTTTCACACAATTTGAAATACACATTTTTAGATATTTTGAAAATAAATTCTTAAAAACGTTGGTCACAAGAATCAAACCTTGAACCCGACCTATAAATCTACGTTCGTTTATTAACGGACTACCGTCTTGTTATTAAATCTCCATATTTCTTTAAAACTTAATATTAAGTAAGATCATTTTTTTAACACTATAATTCTTTATAAGCTTAATATCTAAAAATGAGAAAACTCTCATATTTTGTACACAAAAAATCATTTTTTTTATTAAAAGAATCAACAAAATAAATTTAAAAAACCATTTATTTTTCTTTGTTTCCTTGCCATCACTCTCGAGAAATTTTATAATGCACAAGGAGTAAATAGTAACATGTATAATAGTTACTTCTTGGATCCACTTTGAGGAGAGAGATAGATACACAAAAAGAGAGAGAAATAGGAGAGAGAAAATAAAAAAAATTGAACGGACGTAGAAATCTTCTTATCACTTTTGGTGGATATAGATGTAATTTTATTTTTTTACGTGTCTATCTCTCTCCTCAAAGTGAATCCAAAAAATAACTACCGTATATATCACTAATTACTCCTTGCGTATTATAAAATTTTTCATCGTTCTTCTTGAAAAAGATATATAAAAGAAAAACAAACTATTTCTTACAAATGTTCATATGTCGATAATAGCAAAATAAAAAAAAAAAAGAAATTTTTTTCTTCCTTTTCACGTCACACGTGGACATAGTTCCCAATTTGGTCATTCTTTTTTATTTTCTTTTTCACCTCAATCATTTTTTTTAATTTATTTCTTCATAGATCACTTGGGACTGAACCTATAGCATACATCCAACAACAACTCCTAGATAGTAGATACTGGAATCTCCCATGGCATAGATGCTGTGTGCTGCTCTGGCTCAAAGCACGCAGAGAGAGATGGCAACTGTAGGTCCTAACTCCACGAACAAATCAAAAACAGAGAAGGAAAATGGGGTCGTTGATTCTTCAACAGAACTTGATGCTGGAGCTTTATTTGTCCTCAAATCAGGAGGTTAGTTGTTTATGCAAGAGTCTGAATAGAAACAAATTTCTTTTCAAGTAGACAGAAAACTGTTTTAAATTCTGTGTATCATTGGTTATAGGATCTTGGATACACTGTGGATATCATTTGACGACATCAATAGTTGGTCCGGTGACCTTTACTTTTCCCTTTGCCCTAGCTTTACTTGGCTGGGCACCTGGAGTTCTATGCTTGACACTTGCAGCTTTAGTGACTTTCTATGCGTACAATCTTTTATCCGTGGTTTTGGAGCACCAGGAACAGCTTGGGAAGCGACAGATTCGATTCCGGGACATGGCTGAAGACATTCTAGGTGATTTACTCCCTCGATTTCTTGGCAGTAACAAACTGTGGTTCGTTTTTGGGCCAAAACAACCAAAAACAAAAGGCATGCATGAAGAGTAACCATGTCATATTACAGGGCCTGGATGGGGCAAGTATTTTGTGGGACCAATTCAATTCGCAATATGCTATGGTGCTGTTATTGTCTGTACTCTTCTTGGAGGGCAGAGCCTCAAGGTTAGCGTTATATTTCCCTCAGTAAGATCTCCAAAAGAAATTTGAGAGATGGTTTTCATTGATTGCATCGAATTGGTTTTCTAAGTTTCTATTTCTTGAGCACAAAATTATCAGGATAAGAAGAGCTTATCATTCCTTAAATAACTCTGTTTCTTTATTTTTTGCATAACATTTTGATTTATACCTTGCAGTTCATTTACTTGCTGTACAACTCGAATGGAACAATGCAGCTGTACCAGTTCATAATTATTTTTGGAGCTGCAACATTATTCTTGGCACAAATGCCATCCTTTCATTCTCTAAGGCATATTAACCTTGTTTCTTTGATCCTCTGTCTTGCTTACAGTGCCTGCGTTGCAGCAGGTTCTTTATATATTGGTAAGTAAAATCACCGGTCATTGTCAGAATTTTCCATTTACATACCCTCGTGCATACAATAATTCTATCTCAGGAAATTCCAAGAATGCACCTTCTAAGGACTACTCCATTAATGGATCTCAAGAAAATCGACTTTTCGGTGCTATTAATGCCGTTTCGATCATCTCTACCACTTATGCAAGTGGAATTATCCCTGAAATACAGGTTTGTTTTGATTGCTTAACATATTCCATCAGAACATGTATGATAGATACCACAGACTCTCAGGAAATTCTGAGCTGAACATTAATCAAACAACATGGTTAGAAGGCATTTCAAGAAGCTCCGCATCCGATATTGTGCAGGCAACTATAGTTCCCCCTGTCAAGGGCAAGATGCTCAAAGGCTTATGTATATGCTATGCTGTTATAGTCAGTACCTATTTCAGCGTTGGCATTTCAGGTTATTGGGCATTTGGCAATCAGGCTCAGCCAACAATTCTTACCAATTTTATGGGTGATGGCAAGCCACTGCTGCCTACTTGGTTTCTTTTGTTAACCAACATCTTCACTCTTATGCAATTGACTGCTATCACTGTGGTGAGTCCTATTCCCTACCACCTACGGCAGAGTTGCATTCCGTTTACACATCTAACATGGGCTGTTCGTTGCAGACTTACTTGCAACCAACAAACGAAGTATTCGAAAAATGGTTTGCCGACCCGAAGATGGATCAGTTCTCCATTCGCAATGTTATACCAAGGTTGATTTTTCGATCACTATCAGTTATAATCGCTACATTTTTCGCAGCAATGTTACCTTTCTTCGGAGACATCATGGCTCTATTTGGAGCATTTGGATGCATTCCTTTGGATTTCATTTTGCCAATGGTCTTCTATAACGTGACTTTTAAGCCATCCAAAAAGGGCTTAGTGTTCTGGGGAAACACGTTGATAGCTGTAGCATCCACAATGTTGGCAGCAGTAGGAGCAGTAGCTTCAGTTAGACAAATAATTCTCGATGCTAAGACTTATAGCTTGTTTGCTAACATGTGAAGCTGAACCTCCATCCTTTCCTCCCTCCCGCTAGAGGTATGGCGTTCGAATCTCTTCTTTATAACCGAAAAGGGGGAAAAAATAGTTACATATCAATATGTAATTTTATTTATTATTATTTTTATTTTCAAGGCTCAAATTAATCCTTCGCGATCGAATACACAAGCCATACATAATTACCTAAATAGTTTTCTATATATACAAGAACTTGAACTTTATTTGTTTAAACGATTAGAATTTATTACACTCGAGTCAACTCTCTCCTAGAGTTTATTTTACTCAATTCAACTTTCTTATATCAATATATAAGCTGTAAGTACCGTATCAATTATTATAAAAATTATATTACTATCTTATTTTCTTTAACAACCAGATTCGTAGGTCGAAAAATCAAGTTTTAAATTAATCATTCAAGACATGAATTGATGTATCTATAGGAAAAAAAATTTCTAGCAGTTTTTATTTTATTTTATTTTAAATCTGAAAGAATATGAAATGATAACGCGAAAAACAAATCTATTTGCTATCAAACCCTCTCAGAGGAAACATGTTCAATAATTAGTTGGATCCTTCCATGAATGTTGTACGCCATAAGGTATTAACTTCCAACGACTAGACACAGGGATTTACATCTACATTGCATAAATGTCAAAAATTATTAGTACTTCTACGTTTATGTCGATTCCGCAAAGGAGCTTTTGTGTACTCGCCAGGTGTCGAAATCCACGTCAGTATATGTCCACAGTTTCTAAGGAGGGGATTGGGTATCTTATCGTTTGCCGAATTGGGCTTCCCTTCGTGACAGGTTTAATTGTTGGTTTGGTTTCGGTCTTCGTTTAAACTACAAGCGCATAGAGCAGTAGACTCTTTATTTTTACTTTTTATTTTTTTGGTAAATTTTAATTTGCCCCCTAAGGTTTGAATGGTTTCTCAATTTCTGTTGTTAGATTTCGTTTATATCAATTAACCCACTGAATTTTCATCTAAGTTTTAATTATTTTCTTCCATTTATTAAACTAACATGACTAATAATGTGGTATTGTCGGTTTTTCAATTGACTTCTTAACTAAGCATGTATTCCTCCATCATATTAACTATTTTATTTTTTCAATCAGGATTATATTTTCTTGTTAAATCTAATATTTTTCAAATTTATGAACTTTTAACATATAAAAATAATACTAAAAATACACAAACTCAAACTATAAATCTTGTATATTTTAATGAAATCATAACAATCTAATGTTGGGTTAACATAGATTAGCATCATCTTTTTATATCTCGTTTTCAGAAATTAAAAAAACAAAAAATATATGTTAATTGCGTAAATGTAAAGTTTAATATATTAAAATTAATAATACTTATGCACTATATATATTATTGTCCAAATCATAATAGAAATTCCATATTAATCCTTCAAATCGTATTGAATTCATAAACTAAAACAATATTATTTCCTATATATTTTCTCCAAAATTTGGTGAGATGAATTTTATAAATTTTTATATGATTGAAGGATAAATATTTGATGAATATTTTTTAATGTTTTAGAAAGTCAATTGAAATATATAACAACAGTGTCTTATTATTAGTTATGTTAGTTTAATAGATGGAGTGGAAGAATTAAAGCGGTGATGAAAGTTCAAGGGAATAATTGGTACAAACAAAATATCAGAAGAGAAATTGAAAAACTCCTCAAACTTCAAGATGACATATTGAAATTTATTCTTTTCTTTTTAAATCACGTATTTTAAATTTTGAGTATTTCTTTTTTTAACAATCAAATTTGCTATTAAGCCAACTTTTCTTGAATCTAAACTTAATATCTCTGGTTTGATTTTAAGCAAAACATCCCCAAACTGTGTATTCATAAATAGAAAAAGGTTTATTGTATTTTGTAGCAAATTCGAATATAAAACGATGATACAGAAAGTAAATTTTTTTTTTCCTTTAGCATAGATAGAACCCTGTAATCCACAGTTAGTGGTCAGACAATAAAAAAGTTAGCATTAGTATTTAGCGAAACAAAAGAAAAAAATCGTATTAACATAAAGAACTAGATTGATCATCCCTGCAGAGATGAGGAGCCATTCTTATCTATTCTTATAATTATTTTAAAAAAAAACAATTAAAGCTTGCCAAATGAAAGATTTGAATCACGACCTTTTGCAAATATAAAGAGATTACTACCGTTAAACCAAAATTTATTGATGAAAGGAAACCTATTTACATCTTAATCCAAGACTTAAAAAGAAAAGTGTTTCTTTTGTGTACTATTATCAATAAAACTAAACTAAAACCATTATTTACTATTCATTCACTATTCGAAATACTATTTACACATTCACAAATCATTATTCATACACTCGCAAATCACTATTTTTTTCTCTATTCATGTCATTTCGTAACACTTTGGTCCTCAATTTTTGTATAGTTTTTTTTTCAATTTCAAATTTTAATTGCATAGTGATCTGATCCCATTTTATTTTAGTATTTTTTGTCAATTATTTTTATTATTTAAAATTTATTACTTTAATTTGTCATTTTTTTTTAAATTCTCTTTTTTTTTTCAATTTCAAACTTTAATATGTTAATTATTTTTATTATTTAAAATTTACTACTTTAACATGTCATTTTTTTAAATTCTCTCTTTTTTTTTCAATTTCAAACTTTAATTATATTGTGATCCGGTCTCGTTTTGTTTTAGTATTTTTTTAATTATTTTTATTATTTAAAATTTACTATTTTAATTTATCATTTTTTTTAAATTCTCATCCAATTAATTTAAAATTATATTTACTAATGGTTTTGATTTATTTTTCTATATTTATTGATTTTGGAATAATTTTTTAGAACATAATTATTTCTTTTGAAAAATAGATTTAGATAATTTTTAAATTATTGTAGCATTATATATATATATATATAATTTGTCTAAAGTATATTTTTAGATTAAAAGTGTATTCAAAATAATTTTTTTCTCAGATTTTTATATTATTTAAAACTTGCTACATTAATTTATCTTTTTTTTAATCCTCATTTTCTTTTTCAATTTTAAAGTCTGATTATATTGTGATTAGGTCCATTTTGTTTTAGTATTTTTTGTTAATTATTTTTTTTATTATTTAAAATTTACTACTTTAGTTTTTTTATTTTTTTAATTTTCATCCAATTAATTTAAAATTATATTAATCGACAGTTTTGATTTATTTTTCTATATATATGGATTTTGGAATAAATTTTTAGAACATAATTATTTTTTCTTTTGAAAAATAGATTTAGATAAATTTTAAATTATAGTAGCATGATTAATATATATAATTTGTCTAAAATAGATTTTTAGATTAAAACTGTATTTCAAATAATTTTTTCTCGGTTATTTTAAAAAACTCAAACTAATTCATTAATAGTTGAAAGGTAAATGTGAAAAATAAAAAAGAGATGGTTGCTCTACATGTGAGACCTATATTCAAGG